AAATTTGTAAAGCAAATACAGCACATTGGATATAAAAAAGAAAAGTGATTATCGTCTTTAATTTTAAACTTTAACTTGGAAGTTGACAGGAGTTTAAAATAGTGACAACTTTAATAACAAGTGCAATTGACTGTAATACATGTGTGCTTTTTTTTAAAGCCTCAACTTCGTTTCATCTACGCACCAGGAAAGATGTGTCACTGTTTGCAAGGAACCCATTCCGTTCCTGAATTAAGTGAATTACACATTGCTCTGAGAAAGGGTCTGATGTGGTCTTGCATGTGTACCGTACAGTCCTTTTATTATATATCTAAAATTAAAATATATGCCAATATGAGTGCTCAATTGGACTGAAATCTGATCTGAAGAATGAGCAGGCCACGGATGCAGGAGAGTGATGTTGTTAATCTTACACTATGTACTAATATTACAGTCGCTCAAGGGGTCGGGGTTGTTACGGTAGCACTGTATGTTATATAATATATGTATAATATATACAAAAAATATGGTGACTGATTTAAAAATGAAAGAATTCAGCTTTATCCGTGCAACTTTCTTTTAAAAACAACAACTTCAGATTGTTCAATGCATAAAAGAAAAAATGTTAACGAGGCCAAAATAAATTAAAACTGAAATATCATGGCACATTAGTGAGCACAGTTCATGTTCCTTTATTTCAGCTGAAACGTGACAAATTTCAAAGCGTGCATTTAATCAACAGTCTTGTTTTTGAGTAACACCCTTTCAAAATGAGTGATGTTAAAAATGATGATAAAGATACATCAATAGTAAGATACACTATGGTTACTACATTGTATAAACTATAATAAGCCAAAGTAGAGTCCACTGGCTTGGAGTGTTTGAACTTTAATCTTTATTGACCCCACAAATTAAAAAGCACATTTTCCTAAACATGGCACAACAACCAACCCCAAACCAAAGTGCATCATGGCACGAATGCCACATTAAAAGTGAAAAGTACTTATATTGAAGTACCCCTAGACGAAAAGTGAAAAGTACTCATTGATGTACCCCTAAACGAAGGAGACCTGATATTGTTCAACCTTCAGTATAAATCTTGCACACTGGTGTCATTCTTATAACTTATAGGAATGGGTACAAGTACAAGATTTAATCAGTAAACATATATATGCCCAATTTGAAAAATAACAAAATAAATAAATAAAAGCACAAATACTGCTCGTTAAAAAAAATTAGAAGTTTTAATTGAAAACTATTTTCAGAAAGCCCATCACATTATAACATACTTTATTACTATTGCAGTTTTCATTTTCTTGCGAACAATATTCGTTTTCTCATAAACAACAGGCTTCCCTTTATTTTGGGAGGCATAACTCCATAGAGTTCATATTGACTAAAAACTAAAAATTAAAAAACAATCACCATGATATGCTCATTTTGAGGGAGAGCGTAACTTCCACCTCACATTTCTCCCCTTCGTGAAATTTTTCACAGGGGGTAGGATACGAAATAGGTCCATATATTTTATTTATTTATATATATATATAAGTGCCTCCTTGTTTCATATGCAGGAAGGATATCAAGTTTACCCCCCTTTCATTTCCCATTTGGGTTGAGATGTGACATTAAGAGTTAGATTTAGATTTGTCTGTTTTGTACTTTTTCTTGATCAAAAATATTTTCAAAATTAAATAAAGTCCACGTCACACTGAAAAATGGCAAATAAATAATTCACAACAGACTTCATAAAAACAACAACAATCACAATGTCTAGTATCCAAATTCTTGCTTGACTAGTTAAAGTTAAAGCGCTTTAAGCTTGGTTGTCAGTTTTGATAGGTTGAGAAGAAAAAAAAATTGTGGATTTTCTTTTCTTTCTGTTTACTGATATTTTCTGTAACTATCATATTTGGTTTAGTAAGCAGACCTCACTGTGTATGTCTGGAAAAGTTAAAATTATACCATAAAGAAGTTACTTCATAGAGTAGAAATTGACTTATTAAAATCTGTTTATACTATATACATCTCATTCTGAATACAGGGTGATCCAAAAATAAAACTATAACTACAACTTTTTTCTGAATATCTCGTTGACAAAAATTGTTTTAGAATGCTGTAATTTGGTACAGATATAATATATTCAAAATGAATCAAAAGGAATTTGTCAGAAATAAAATCCACAAAGAAGAAATATTTTGAAAATGGAAATGGCTTAAAGAAAAAAGCACCCAAGAAGACAAAGTTCACCAATCTTCAAAAATCTTGTAAAGGAAGTCATGAAAAGATTGTTTGGCATTTTTCTTTATTTTCTCTTTTACATTTAATGTCTCTGTAACATTTCAACATTTAATTGCCTTTACAGCATTTTAAAAACTAACGTTTTCATTCTGGAATTAAAAGAAGCAGTGCTCTAAATGCCCTCCTTTGGACATGACACATTTTTAACATGTCGTTTGAAATGTTCAACGGCGGCCATGCACAAGGACCGGCTAAACGGTGAGGGTTTAAAGCCACATACACTGTACATATTTAGTATGAAGTGGCTTCTAGAGAGACAATAGGAAGTGGGATGCCCAATAGACAGCATTTTTTAAAAGTTAATATATCCCGCAAGGTGAAAATGGGCTTTGCACTCAACCAGATGCCATCGAGGAAATTATGTTCCCACTTTCCAGACAATCGAAGAATCATGAACACATTGTCATGCTCTGATTCATGTCATTTCCACATAGCGAAGATGAAAAGTGTACAGTCGTAGGTTAAGATCAGCCACGAGAATGCAGACTTTTTGAGGTGTAGGAAAGTCCTAGCTGTAGATCGTCTATGGACAGATGTGTCATGGGATTCGACTACTGAAATGTGCACGCTGGTGGCGTTTAAAGGGCTGCGCATGGTGCGTGTTCGACCTGAAGAGTTATTTTTAAAGCAAATTTTTAGTTCAGGTCCTCTATAGATCGAAACTGACTGAACTTCTCTATTCAGGACACCAAAGTTTTTGACGGCACCTAAGCATTCTCTCCATGCCGTACGCAGAACTTACGAAACATCAGGGATGTTGAGTTTGTGGAGAGGAAATGTTCAATACAAAAAGCTCTCTGCTCTTTACTAAACTTAACCGTAACCATGATCTCAGCAGGCAAACGAAATTGGGGGGAAATAATATCTGCAGACTTCTGTTGACTTGTTAGACTGCTGTAGCTTGCAATGCGGCATGATTGTTGCAACTTTTAGTGGTATGCCTAATGCAAACTGGTGCACCATGCTACAAAACTGGGGACAAGGTTGAAAATGGGTTGTTTTTCAATGTACCATATAGAGCAAAACCATTCAATGGACTTATTTAAAATGAATATTACTAATATTAGACAAATTCCTTTTGGCTTCCAAATATTATGTTCAAATCTGAAATGCAAAACCTCAGTACGGAGGAAGACATTTACAAAACAAGTTGCATAGTTTTCTTCCGGATCACCATGTACATTCTTCAAGCTCACTGTCAAAAGATTATAACAAATTTGACATAAAATTTCTTTTTCTTTCTTCCATCCTCTAGAAAGCAACTCTCCTCCATTATCTTATTCACATCAGCCTTGAATAATGAATGGTAAACATAGAAATTAAGAATCTAAGAAGGTGCGCCAAACCTGTTTGAGTTTACATGAGACAAGTTAAATGTAGTCCTGTCCCAATTTATACAAAAGTAACAAGATGGCGAGCACAGACAATTTTCACACATTACCATGTGAATTCCGAGGGGACCATGAATACTTCCCAAACTTTTAAAAACAAATGTTCTTAACCTTAAAATTGAGCTTTAGAGATGAGTTTCTAACCAAAATGGTTAGAACAGTGAACTCAAGGCATCTAACTTGTCAAAGTAGCCTACACGTATACAGAACACAAAATAGGTACTGTTCCAAAATACAAATCTAGGAACATTTTTGCTGAGTAATGATTGTGCTCACAAGTTTGTATACAGTCAGGCACAGATAACCAGTTTTCATAAAACTCGAAATCATGAATAGCTTGTACAATATGCCATTCTCAAACTCAAAATCTGGGATAGCTCATACAGTATGCAGTTCCCCGACTGAACTGCTATAAAATTTTTGTTAATGTATTGGCAAAACTGTTATCTTAAACACCGGAATGAACTTGTTGAACAGCTCACCTTCGAAAAACCAGGATCAAATTTTTTTTCTCAAACACAACTGTCTCGAATTCAAATTGACCTGATCCCACGATGGAAAACAACACCCAACTTCATCAACAGTATCACGTTACATGAGCCCACCAGGCTCGCATGATACACACACCTGCTGATATCAAGACGCATCATCGCACATTACCACCTGTTGAATCTAAGCATGTGAGGATGAGTAGGCCTACTGGATGGTGGAATTGGAATGCGAATAAAGATAGGATAGACAGTAGACAGTGTGGTATTGCATTAGGCGCTTTGGTGTGTGAATTAAGTTTGTGTACACGTGTGTATGTGTTTGTGTGTGTGTGTGTGTGTGTGTGTGTGTGTGTGTGTGTGTGTGTATGTGTTTGAATGTGGCTTGCACTCATATATATATAATTATAATCACTGGCTACTCAAAAAGATAATGAATGTCACAGAAAGTCAAGCAAATTAAGCGATGGAACTTTTAGTTTAGTTTTAGAAAGAGTTTTTTACAGCACTTGCAACACAGATAGGTCAAGGTAATTTAAGTGCTAAAGATCAGAAATAACAGGTATTACGACTAATGAATAACATAAAAAGAAAAGAAGGAGGAGAGATATTTAAGGACAACAGATGTTTGATATGACAGATGGAGCAACCCACACCAGAGCAACCCCAAACCACTGACAATGTGAAACTTAGGAATCCATTTTATGAGTGATACAATTTACACCCTTCAAGCAAAGAACAACAGACAATGAAGTGTGACTTCAATACTTTGCCACCTTTGTAGACACAATGTGGTAACAAAACATAACAACGATAACATCAGAACAACTCAAACAAATGATTGAAGCCATAAACATTCAAGTTTATTTTTTTAGCATTAATTGTTCAACACTGCCTGTAAAGCAAATCAATAACTTTGTATGTGATGGCACCCAAATCTTATTATCCTGCGATACATACATATATTTTTGTAAGCGTATGACAGTTGTCGTTGAATTTTATTTTGAGAAAACATTATAACCATCACTAAACTGATAAAAACCTAAAAAATAATACCCCAATAAATAGAGTTAAAAAATCCTTGCATTTAAAAAAATCCAACAACTAGGCTGAACATGACATCAGCAAATCTTTAAAACACTTATGCCCTCAAGTCATGTAAAAAAAAAAGAAGGTATTTTTTCCCCCTAATTGAGACTTTTTCTCAGTTTGCCACCCTGGCAACAGGGCTAGTAAATGCCTGGTCTGGACTTTTACGCAACTGAAGCTACATCAAACATCTCAACTTATACAGGCAGACATAAATCATTAAATGCTCTTCAAAACTTGAGTCACAAAATGTTTAGTTTAGGGTTGGTTTCATGGAATTTTCTCAAAAAGAGAAGGTGAATTTAAAAACATTTTTCCTAAGCTTCAACGTAACAAACCATCTCATCTTCATGGACAACTAATCACTTTAAAACCTACAGGAGCAACAGGTTGTTGATTCCTACAGTACAATATGCAAAGTGTAAGAGAAGAGATTTCATTATAAGCAAACAAATCAATCTAGTTACATGCATAGTCACCAGCTGAAGCTATGAAACGTCCCCCTTCATCCGCTCATGAAGGCAATATTAATTAAACAATGCTCATGTGAACAGTGCAACATTTCAGTAATATGAAACTTATTGAGCTTAGTCCCTCTCTGCATTTCAACTTTACAACAAATGACAAGTTTCTTTTTAAAAAGAAAGTAAACTTGTGCGCAGCTCCCTCTCACATCATGACCTTGGCTTCCTTGAAATTTTACTGACCCCAACAATTTTGCACCCATTTGACCATTTTCAAATTTCTAAGTGAAAAAAATTATCACTGAACATCAAAACTCACTCAATACATGACATGTAAAGACCCAATCAAAAGAAAAGCGCCTACTAAGTCGATGTAATCCACGGAAACGCATTTCCTAATTGTGAAGAACAGTGAAGCTCATTTTGGCAGCATCTCTTCAGAATGAAGTTGAACACCTCTGCTCATTACGTTCATACTTTGCTATCCTCCCCTCAGTTCATACTGTCACATTTTCCTTTGGCCAGCTGCCTGTCTGTGGCTTTCCTTTCACTGACGTAAACAAACAATCATGCCATCCCATTGGTCTATCCCTATCGATTCCCACCCACGTGATAAATTAACCCCCCCACCATCCCACGCTCACTTAAGACCACGTAGCCCCAAGTATTACTTGTACCCCCAGCTTCAAGATATTAGTGATGCTTAAAATTCTTCTTCTCCCCGCAACCCAAATCACACACACAAAACTGTCACCCTCTAACTCTAACCCCTAGCTTTGTTACTTCCTAACTAGCTGATCAGCACAACTCTATACTACACTACATTACATATGCGCATATTCCATCAATTGCTGAACATAGTCAGATCTGTCATCAGTCATGATTTATTGGCGTTGGTGCAAGGTCGGACCAAATGCTGACAGGATACATCCTTTGTCGTTTCCTGTGACTCTCTATATCTCAACATTTGCTTACCATGAGCAAATTTTCATTTCTCAGCACCACTGCATTTCATTAACCACAGAACACTGGCTATTACTAGAGGAACTTGTGGGCATCAGGCAGGGATGATTTTAAAAATAAAGACAAAACAAACAAGGAAAAAAAAAAAAGAAAAGAAAAGAAAAACCATGGAAATATACCATTAGAGTGAAATTTTCAAAGTATCCATTAATACTACACATTTCAGCCACAGTTGCATAATGACTCATTCATCCTCACCTTGATTCATTACTGTTACCGCAACCACAATTTCAATCTCAGGGCATCCACACCATTTAAATAATAACGAAACAATCTCTTGTCCCGCACAAACCCAAGGTTTTCGTACAAGTGGAGAGCACCTTGGTTTGTGATTTCCGTTTCTAAAACAACCTGTAGATAAATGCAAAAAAACAAAAACATTACTAACAACATAAAACTCGTTTTCCAGTCAAAATTTCACTATGCTAGAACTGGTAATAAAAAAAAATGAATTGCAGTGATGTTAGTACATGCACAAATTTTTGGTTTCGAGAAATATCACCATGAAGGCTCAAATTCTAATCAAACAGCATAAACACTGCTGTTGAGCACTTTAGCTCTGAACATGATAATTTCAGGCCTGGTCCTCAGTTTCAAGTTTTCAGCAATTTGGGTAACATACATTGTGCTGAATTTATACATTACATTATATATTCTAAAATTATCATTGGCATGTCCGAACCCTTTTATATTTTTCAAAAATACATATCGTCCTGTCGTAGTCAAAACATTTTACACCAAATTTTTTCAATAATTTTTTATTCCCTTAACCCTTCCAGACCCATGCTCCTATATCTTCAGCAGCGCGTGTACCTCCCACTGTCCCAAGATCGAATATTCTCTGTTTCGGGGTATACTGAATTTATGCCTTTTTTTTCCAAATTAACAAACTAATTAAACTTTAACTTTCATAATATTTGTTCATTTACCTTTAAACATTGTTATATTTTATTATCTAAACCTCATTACATCATATTACATCACTTTTTTAGAATACATGCCTCTATTTTTGAAATACTGCTGCACTGGCTGGAACTGGGGTTAGGAAGTGCACAAAATGGCTGGGGCTGGAACGGTTAAAAGGCAAAGAAATGTCTCTAACACAAGGAGACATCATTTAGAGTGATGCTAAGTCAGCACTTTTACAGTACGACTACCACAAGGACGATATGTGGCCGGTCCAAAAAGTGTGGTGAATATGGCCATTGCACATTAACAATATATTGTATATGAATCTTAATAAAACATTTGCACATTATTCAGTAAACTTTACAACCCTCAATTTCAACGCTCAAAAAAGGCTGATGATATCTTTCATAGTAACTTATAAAATAATACATGTACATATGTGTGTGTGCCTGGTGAAAGGGACCACATGTCGCATTTTCTCAAACCGAGATATCAGGCTTCAAAGGTCAAAAATTTTTGACAAAAACTAAGTTCCATTAAAAATGGATTCTTCAGCCATTTATTTATTGATATTTACAAGGATTTGGCTTATTTTGACTTTAAAATACATTTTAAAAGGTGTTTTTTAACCCGAGGTATATTGCATAATCCCAAAAAATGCGTGAGGAAACTGGCTTTCAAGGTAAACACTGCGGATGGTTTCTCTTGTCCATTCATAAAGTTGACCCAATCACATTGTATACTAAAATTTAGGTAATTCTCTCTGCTCTCCAATGGCAGGTAGTGCGCATGAATATCTAGAACATGTAAACAAAGCGAAACTTTGCGCATCCATACCCTTTTGTTTCTTTGGAGAACAAACTTGTATCGCCTATTTCTGCCCTGTGCAAACCGTATTTCTTGAAATTCCTGTTCAATGTGGTGGTGAATTTGTTTTGAAGACGTAATATAAACACTTTGAAGCTGTTCTTTTATTGTAGAGCTGCTTTTTAAAGTTAGTTTGTGAGAAGTGACTGTGTTGTCAGGTCGTCTCGAGGGACAACAACACGGCGGAGCTGCCAGCTGTTACTACTACCGGTACTGTTAGTAGTAGATCTAGTACTAGACCTAGATCTAGTACTGCTATTCGTGAGCAGGAAATTGTGTCTCTTCTCAATTCTCTTAGACGCATTGGAATGTCAGAATGGCAACTGAAGAAGACATTAGAGATGTAATATGCGATTATTTCGTTTCTGACGTCGATTTGGTAGAAGAGGAAGAAGATGAGTTCGATCTGTGGTACTGTGGTGCCATCGCCAGTTCCAGACCCCGCACTTGAAGCAGAACCAAGCGAAGGAGGTAAAGATTAACAACAACAAAAACAACAGTGATAATAGAAATAGATTTAGATTTAGCAATCTAATAATTATTTATTATAATGATAATTAATAGTAATAATTACCATTACGCTGTTCTTTCTTGATAAACCTAGATCTAGATCTAGTTTAGATCTAGCTTACTCATAGTAGTGCATTTTTGTTTTCTTAATTCTAAATGTATGCAAAACAAAATTTCATTCATTCCTGGGAGAGTCTGGGTTCAAAGATCTGGATATGTGGCAATCTTGTTAAGTGGGTAAGGAACAAAAAGTTTTCCTCTGACCCTGATGATTGATCGTGTTAAGTTCCCTAGTTACTGTGGTGAAGATACTTTTTTTGCCAGTGTGTGTTGCAGGAGATGAAGGGGGAGGGAGGGGGGTATCAAGTTTTTAAACAAAACAATAATAATTATGAACATGATTTAACAACATTATATTTCAGCAACAGCAAAACCTTTTTACTAGAATGGTGACTTGTTATGAAAAAAGGGTGTTCTGTTTTTGTTTTTTCTGCAGAAACAGAGGTGAAACTTTAGAGCCGTTTTTCTCAAAACTTTGTTTCCGTACCCTGCCTTACAAAATCGCCCATATCTCAAAAACTACTAAAGATATCTTCAAAATTTAAAAAGCACATTGTTCAGAAATGAATTCTGTACAAGAAAATGCCAAAAAACGGGATTTTTCAAAATGCGACATGTGGTCCCTTTCACCAGGCACACACACATATATTATATTCATTAAAAAAGTGTAAGTATTTAACACCCCCATCAACACAATGTGTCTCATTCAGGAGGCAAGCTACTTTGACCCCGCCTGTCACTATCAGGGCCAGCCTGAGCTGATAAGGACACAGAAGCACCCCAGCAAACCGGCAGAGATATTTCATTAAAAAAACCCTCCTTGAAAAAAATCTGATCGAAAGATTGCAGCCAATCTTGGACGTCTGAGATCAAAGTCTGTTTTTTGTTTTAGTAAGAGTTTCACAGCACTTGAAACACAATAAGGCCATATCAGTGCCGAAGATTGGAGGCGTTACATGAGAGAAACCAACCCAAGAAGGGAGATATAAGGATCACAGATGTTTGATAGAAAAGAAGGGGCAAACCAAACAAGAGCACCCATCAACCATCTGCGACCAAAGTCTGAGGGAGAAGGGTCAAGTCTGTGTAAAGGATCTGACAATACCTTCCAGCTATTTCTCCAGTCTTTTGTGAGATTCGAGACAAGAGGAGAGTAGGTTTTTCATGTAAGAGAACAATGCCCATGCTCAGACCATTTCAGTCAGTTGTTATGGAACCCCACGAGCTGACACTTAAAGATTCCCAGCTGCTCATTAGGATTTACCTCATCACAGTCATCTCTTATCATTGCTTGGATAGCCTTAGTGACCAATGTAGAACCTGAAACAAAAATCAGATACAGGGATGATATTATTATTATGTGTGTATAGTACAACTATTATATATATTATATGATAGTAATAGTGAAAATGGGAAACCCACTTATTAAATGAGACTTGAAATTTTATTTCAACTACAACGCCATGGTAACATTCAAGAATCATTTAACTCTACAATTGCCAATCAATTTATATTCCATTTCATATACTTGAAAGAGCAGAAACTGGACAAAAATGCAGATGTTGTGATCATATTATTTTGAAATCCAAGGGGAATTCTGTAGAAATGATTGAAACCCAATATTAATCAAATTTAACACACACACACACACACAAATAAAAAATAGACATTAAAAAAAGGCTTCATGATGAATATCTTATTTACGATGAGAAAGCTGACATACTGGCCAGAGCAGCTGTAGTGAGGAGAGGAAAGCAAGCAATTTGAGATCAGCTTTACCCTTCCACAGAATGATTCGAATGCATCTGTGTGTGTTACAACAGAGCGGTCTGTTTGCAACTCCACAACTTTCAACATCATGAAGAAGTCACAGCTCGTGGAAAGACCACGAAAACTTCAGGGATTAACGGAAGATTTTGTTATCACCTTTAGATGAACAACAAATTAGCACAGAAGGTTCCAAAACCTCTGATTTTACTTTATCTGTTCCCCCCAGTATTTCAAGTATTACTAATTCCCTTTAGAAATCTCCAATTGACGTACCAGTCTATAGAGTTCACACTTTTCATTTAGCATCAGCAAAGGGTAAGGAGCAATACTAGTGAAAATATGTATTTTCTGATACAAACACTTTTTTTCCTGTACCCTGACCCTCAAAATGTATTCATTAATTATGTTCTTACATGATTCTTATACTTATCAGCTATGTAAATAGCCAAAAGAAACAAAACAAATCTCAAGCAGAGACAAGCAGAAACAAAGGATGCAAAACAAAACAAAAAAACACAAGAGGAAAGCACAAAGAAAGCAAAAATAAAGAACCTGGGAAGAGTTAAATTTGACTAAAACTTCCATTGCAGACACAATCTTCTTTTCCAAAATTACGATTCAGATAAGTCAAATTTGAAGCCTCAGCAATGAACTGTCGTTCTTCCTTTCTGGGATTATTCAAAGTCAATATTTTTCCTATTAGGAATTAATGAATTAATCTTCTTTTTTTTTTGGTAGAATACGTTTTCCAATGGCATTTCCTTAACGGGATGACCTCCAGCAGTAGTATGAGTAGAAAATTTTCAAAAAAATACACTCTCTTGGGCATTTGGAGGTAACAGTAAAAACCCTCCACATAGGATTGTACAGCATAGTTCAAACAAAATGATGCCATGCTGCATATTTCACAAGCTGCTTTAGCTTCTTTGCTTTAGAAACTTCAAAAGGATTCCCATTCACCAAGGAAACTGCAATTTATGAGGCACTTTTGGCACGACTCGAACCCTCTGGATTTTTTCTCTGCAACTTCTCAAAGAATTACATCTGTCAAAACACTATAAAACTAAATAAAACTGTTTGAAAGGGATCAGTATACAACAGGTTGTGCCACTACCAGTGAACATGTGACTCCTCAAAGACGAGAGGGGCTAGTGTTAAAGGTAATGAAGCACCAGAGGCATTTGTTCAAGAGAATGCACCCATCAAAAAATGTATTCTAATAATCATCAAAAACTTAATCACAGAACTGAAGAACGATCCACCTTTGATGCTTCAAATTTGACACATTCAAAAACAATAGTTGAACATTTGGGTTCTAATGTTAAATCTGCCATACAGAAAACATTGCAACTTGCTTCCCTAAATGGCAGAAATCATGTTCTGTAAAAAAAAGTGGAAACTGCAGAGGAAGTTCTATTCAAATTTTAAATGGTTCTCATGTCTTTCTACATGCCTGTACTTCAAGTAATTACCTATCTGCCTCCGTCTGTATTCTGAATCAACAGCCAGCATGGCAATGTAACCTCTCCTTACCATCTTTTTATGCAAGTCCAATTTACACACAATAGCCCCAACACATTTGTTATCTGCTACAGCCTGTAGAAGAATAAAAGAAACACAATCACAATGTCAATAGTCAAAGATTCATTCATAATGATGAGATCTGGCACATTATAATATAAGGTTGTTGGTGCATTCCCAGCAACTGAACATATTCAAAACCAGTTGAAACTGATTTCAAGCACAAAACTTGTGTATAAATATATTTCATTAAACAGATGACAGTTCCTTTGTATGATTGCTATTCTGTCTTTAACAAATCAACTAATACATTTTATACACATTATTCTGATGGGTAACCACTGTAGCATACCACTTGAACAAGAAGTGGGTGTGCTGTGAAAAAAAGTTGAGTTTCAGAAAAGACGAGCACACCAGCACTACAATAGCCATTCATTCAGAACAGGAGAACAGTAAGACACACAGACAGAAATAACAGACGGAAAGAAAAAGATGTAATCTACCAGTGTTACCCATCAATCACAATCTGTGAAAAAAGCTTTAAGAACAAAATGAATGGATGTTTGAGAACCATGATAAGGTAATTTTCAAGATACAAGCTTAGAAGTCAGGAAAAAGAGGGATGTTAAGCAAATATGAATTATATTCTCATCACTCAGACTTCAGTAAAGGGCATCCTATGATTACTATGAACAAGATCAGAATAATCTTCTCTTACTTATAACTTTAAATATATTATGAAATCAAGAGGGAGACATGATCTGAACACCACACACTCACCCATTTGACTGGCCATAAATATCAATTTAATGCAGTAATTTGTAATCATCCAATCTTACGTTATCATTATGTTTTGAATCATTCTTCCAATAAAAATGATAATAATAATATAACACAATAAGATCACTTCTAAATAACACCCACTTTCTCACCAGGTGGCTCTAGATGTTTCATCGGTTGAGTTGCAAATGCCATGCTTGTAACAAATTTCATATTGTTTTTTTCATAGATGATACACCTACATGATCCTAAGCTTTCAGTCTGCAATTTGAGCTGCAGATTCTGCATTGTGCTTTCTCTTCAATTTTGTCGGCTTGCTTAAATACATGCCTAACAGTTTAAGTCAAACAGAACAGACAAAAGAGCAGAGTACAGCACACAGTTCATTACATGTTCTGCATTAGGATGGAGAAGTGAAAAAACAAAGCATGTGATGTCATGAAGCACATCACATATTACACGCTCACATGAAGGGCCTCAGATGTTGATTGACATAATAAATTAGCTTCACAGGTAGTAGAGATCCTGTGAAAAAAATACACATTTTTGCTCTTAATCTTGTCACTATAGAGCGTAATAATAAAATAAAATAATATATATATGCCAAATGATGAGTGAGAAAAATGAAGGCAAACAGAGCACTGACAATGCCTCTCTCTGGTCCGCAATAAACACACATCATGTGTGCTCTTATCTTTTTCTTCTGTTTCACTCTCTTAAAGAACATAGAATCTAAAGGACTCGATGCATTGCATTATTTGCTGGTTGCCAGAGTAGGAACCGTACAAAGAGAGGAAGGTAGAGAAGGAGAAGGGAGGACAACATTACAGAGTGGACAGGAAAGACTATGGGTGACAATCTGAGGAAAGCAGAGGATAAAAATAGATGGCGAGAGCTGGTTTTCAGATGCAGTGGTGCCCCCACGATTGCCCCAACCACAGGATAGAAGAAGAAAAAGAAGTGAAGATTCAGACAACATAATAACCCTCAATTTTTTAAAACAAATTAGTAGAAGAAGGAGCATGTTAGTTTTCTTACAAAGCCAAGAAAAAATATCAGAGTCCGATTATTTTCTTTCGGAAAACCGCTTTTTTCAGCCATGTTCTTTTCTTTAGCAAACTCCACTGTATTCCAAGTCCAAGTGTATGTTCTACTGTTCTGACAAAACAACAAATATATACACAAATTGACAATCAGCGTGGCCGCACATCACTCAACTGCCACCAGTGGCGAATTCAAGATGGTAATATCATATTATGAGACGAAACAGAAAACACTGGTTATTAGAAATACTATAAGTACATTAAATCAACCTCATTATACTGCCAGACTCCCTTACCACCAAGTTTTGAAATGTACAAAAAGGAACTCAATTTATTGAAAATAGCGGGAGCATAAAAATGCGATTTTATGCAATGAACATCGCCTTCACATCACCATCCGCCAATTACCTGATACAGTCTATAAATTAAAGTAATGAATGTCAATTTTCCCCATACTGCCAGCAAATGGCTGTCAAAGGTCCACTACACACAGTACAGGAAGCGGGTAAAATACATTGCCAGTTCATCAGCCTGACGACCTCAAGGCTTGTGGGCAAATGAAGCTTTTATGTGAGAGCTCACATTCATTTAAGTTGATGTGACAAATCAAACGCAGCCCAAGGACTGACAGACACAGGGCAGAAAAGTGTATTTATATAATACAGGACAAGTACAAGGACTGTGACACATTACAGTAGAATATGACTATAACAGGACTTTCAAATGTAGACTGTAGGCTAGTTCCCGCTATAGGAATGCAAAGGGGAATTTTACAGAAAAATCACCCACCACACGCTCTCCTTTTCTTTTACGTTAGGCCTAGCCTAGGCCTAGGGCTATGCCACATCACTTTTGGAGTAGCTAACGTAATGTGCCTCCCGCACCATCTTTCTCTGCCGTCTGCCCTACCTCACTTATCACTGGACTTGCCAATCACAACGCCACAACGTTGACTGCCTGTTTGGAGCCCACCTACAGCCCCACATCCCCTTCCTCCCTCAGCTAGAACTCGATCAATCGATCTCTCCAGCCCGGGACATCAGTGCTTTCTTGTCGTATCTCCATTTTTTTTAAACATTGAAAGTATGACTTCTTCTTAAGGACACTCTTTGTATGAGCTGTTCCACTGAAAATTTAAATTTAAAAAAGCACTGAGGTCACGCGCCGTATCCAAGTTCGGGCTTTTCCTTGCTCCATCAAACCCAAGCACAGTCAAGTGAGTTTAGATAGATACAAAAAAGGGGGATTCCGGTAAGGTCCCTGCAGCGGGTGCCGCTATAGTCATGTTCTACGGTACCACCTTTTGATCTGGCAGAAATTTATTTAAATTTTACGTGAAGTTGAGAGAGTGATTATAATTTGTACACACACACACAAACGGAGAGAGAGAGAGAGAGAGAGAGAGAGAGAGAGAGAGAGAGAGAGAGAGAGACTTAAAAAATAGATATACCACATGTTCATGTGTAAATCACCAACAAAAAGACTTTTCAGACATATCACACAATCATTTATCTCGACTTTTCGAAGTCAACGCTACAGTATTTAGAACCCTAAACCACGTCCACTGGCCCAAGCTTCATGCCTGCCCAGAGAGTAGTGGTACAACAAGGTGTTTGACTGTAGTGATCATTTGAGCTAAATAAATGGGGTTCAAACCACTTCGATACAGATAAAGGTGAACATAAGAGTCAAGACACCAGCATGCAAAGAATGTTGAGATAGTTGGGAGTGGTAGCTTGGTAAGTCACACAGCTGATTGCTCTTCCTTACATATATAACTATCACCAAAGGTGTGCTCTTTTATATTTATTTGTTCACATAACCATGCACTCCGCGTAAACGCACACACAGGAGCCCTCATCATTTTATTTAGTAGAGGTTTTACAGCGCTCGCAATTGCATATAAAAGGTCAATGAGCGCCAGAGGGTGGATGCCAACAGAGAAGTCTTTACAGGGTATCTGTCTTGCTCTGCTCACCTCTCTAGCTTTAACAGCACAAGAGTCAAGAGTGTGACAAACATATTAAAATAGAGGGAAAATAACGATAGTAACGATTAGGAAAGAAAAAGCAACTGTTCCCTGTTGTAGTCCAGGCACAGTTATGGGCATGACATTGTAGTTGAACAGCCTTTACAATTCTACTGTGCATAAATAAGAACAAGAAAAGTCCCTCATTTGGGAATGGCCTAAAGACACTTCAGTCAGTGGCACTGCCCCGGGGGAGAAGGAGCCCTCAGGATCATCATGCGTTTAGTTTAGGTGGAGACTACTAAATTGTAATGTGTACAAGAAATAAAGTCTGGTAAATTTTCACTTTCATTCCCGCACACAAATGCACTGCCATGGGGGTCAAACTGCTGTATTTTATTTTTTCTGTAGCAGATCACACATAGCCACTAAAACTGTCGTAAACCAATCATTTTCAAGAAAATGTCAAACTAACCGATATTAAATCCCATAGGTTAAAACGGGGGGGGGGGCGCCCCCTTGTAACCCCCAGATTTTTTTTAACTTCACGGGGGAAGGCCCCCCTGAAACCCTCTGATTGGTCCAAAGCGCGGAAATTAGGCTTAGCATATATACACGTATGATTAGCTCAAATAAAAACCATCAAATATTTCAAAAACTTAATTTGCAACTCAAATGAAGTCGATTTTCATTCAGCTTCAGTGCATCAATAAGTAGGAAATGAAGTGGCCATAATGCGTACGGTCCTACACTTCACATAAAAGCAGGCTTTGTGGGCGACATATTTATAAACTATCAAACCGGACACTACAAATGGACAAATTAAACCCTGGAAGGCGTGAGCCCGGCTACCCGGGAAGCGCCTGACTTCTTTGACCGGGAAGCACACAGACCCTATAACAATATAGGGCATAGACGCTGACCCTTTTCAATGGAAAATTTCAGATTCCTTATATATGGAAAATGACATAGATCTAGTAAATTACAGGTCAAAGTTTTAAAAATAGAGACCAATGACTTTGCAAGTTATATGAATCTTGACCTCGTAGAGCGTCTCTTGGCCAAGATATTGATTGATAATGTGAAGCGGTCCAGCTGAGCGATTATCAAGGCCGAGAGCATACACCTAATTAGAGCAGGGTCGTATGCAGGGAGAGCCGCACGCATAGCCACGAGGCTATGCGTACATAGAGTAGTGCACATTCATAGCCACAGGCAAGCAGAAAATGGACACTTAGAGTACCTATGTGCGGGACGGGAGGGAAAGTAAAAGAATACCACAAAATTTATGCTGCTCCTGTTCCGCATTTTTTCAGTTGTCCTGCCCACTCTGAAAAAAAAATGGTGGCCCTCACGGAAGGCCTCTACAGCCTTTTAGACTGAAGTATCTGAACAACTTTGTACGATGTTATATGTGTGGCATCGTGGTGAAATCAGGCGCTCATCAAAATAATGAAATCAGAGAAATCTGCATTTTTCAGTCAGCTCGGTCATTTTTTTCTAATTTTTGTTACTTGGCTCAACACCTTTTACGTCCATATTAACACATTTCCATGTGAATTTTACTGGAAAACGATTAGAGGTTACAAAATATTTCATTTCCAGTTTTAAAAGACTCTCAAGCTGCTGAAATTACCAAACTTTGGTGGCCATTTTCTTGCATATTTTACCTCTGAAACCAGGCGACCCCCACCTCTTTCAATTGCAAAAATATCTGAACTTCTATTCAAGATAGATGGGTATTTTTTTCATTGAAAGCAAGGCAAATGAAGCTTTCAGATGATACTATTAACTCCACATGCCCATAAATTGACAAGCGCCTGATTCCACCGCATCATGACACATAGCCTAGAGCTAGCTGGGATAGCTCTGAAATTACAGAAAGTACACATGATCAATATTTTTAATAATAACATTTTTATCTGACTGAAAGATTTTTAAACATAATCACTCACCAAGAAGCATAATTTCGGCCAGTTGTGAATAAAATATCTGTAGGTATATATTGAATATGGCTCCGACAAATCTTTTGTAATAAGTCTCATTATGTCTGGCATTTGTCTTTCCGATCCATAAACAATGTATGTGATACCGTTTATAATGCTGTTTGATGAAACAGTATGTTGATCTCCATCTAAGGAAGTTTTTTCAAGCTGCCCCAATAGATCATCAACTTCATCTCTGTTCACACAGGCACTTGTTTCTTCAGTTGACAGTCCTACAGTTGCTTTGACTCCTTTATCACAGGAAACTTCTACATCTTTACTTTCACGGTCAAGCACATTTATAGACTCATAATTCTGACTCTGAGAACAAGAATGGGACCTTCCTTCTTGTGTGTTGTCAACATTATCACTGCTGCTACATTCATTCAACAGATGTTTTGATATCCCATTATCTCCTATTATATGGGTGGCATGTGTAAGCCCATTTAGCCTTTCAGAACACTTGGCTTTGTCACTGATCTCACAGCAAGAGTTAGAGTTTGTACTGCCATCTGTGGGACCCAAACCTCCCTCTGAATCTGTGGTCCCATCCCCAGAATCTTGTTCACTTCGAACTAAAACAGGATCAAGGCCTGGATGATGTGGAGCGGCTGAAGACCCATTTTCCAAAACACAATCAGAACAGCTGGTTTCCTCGTCATTACTTTTAACAATACTGCATTGGATGTTCAGTGGGCTTTGGATAGTTGAACCCTTCGACACAGAGGGAGGGTTAGGGACAGACGTTGGCACAACGAAAGCAGCCACAGGTCGAGAAGGGGTAGTGCTCGAGCAGCAGGTCGAACACTGCGAAACGCTGGCTGCTGAACTTGCAATAGGTACAGGGACCTTGTCTGTCATTATTGGTTTAAGCGAGACGTTTTGGGTGTACTACTCTTCTCTCAATAATACAATTAATAGGTAACTTTCACTCCACTCCAATCCACTTTGAAGGGTAACGTGTCCGTATCTTTCGTTTTCACAAGTTCATCACTGTTTCCATCATGAAACTGTTGAAATCTGCGCATGACTACAGTGGCTTATCTGTTTCCTGTGCCAGCCTGAAGTTTGAATCTAATGGTGTTGCTTGACTATGAACCAAGAAAATTAAATACCAAATTAACAACTCTGTGATCATATTATTTTAATAACTCCTTTGGACATTGCTGACTCAAAAAGTACTTTAAATTGAACATACTTTACTTCAAAGTGCATATTAAAGGTTTTGATTGTCACAGTTTGATTTTGGAAAAAAAACTTTGCCCTTGTATTTTTGCAGGTAGGCCAAGGCCTCTTGTTTCTTGGCCTTTGGGCTTTTTTTGGGGGGGGGATCAAGAATCTAAATCTAGATCTAGTCTAGATCTAGATATAGAGGTAAGCCGATATAGATCTAGACTAGAGTCTAGCCTGCCTTGGCCAGCCTGATAATGTTATTGAATGTTAAACACACCCCTTTCCTTCTATTAGTTCTTATGATAATGTTGGGAAACTTCGAAAAAAAAGGAGAGGGTTCAAAGAAATTCGAATAGAATAAATTATCGATCTGAAAAAGTGTTAAATAAAACAACAACTAATGAGTCAGTAGAATGCAAGTCGAGATAAGATTGTATCGTTGACTCGGCATGAGTCAGTCTTCTTTTTTATATTCCGATCATATAAAACCGAAAGTAGATTTCTACGAGACTACGAGTACAAGTTCATTTTACGAAAGTCATAGGCTAGAGGTCCATTCCCATTGCAGAAAGAGTTTGTGCTTGACGACGAAGTGGACAGCCGGGGAGAGTGATTTTTTGTGGTTGTAACTTTAACCCAGAAGCTTATAACGCTGGTCAGACAATTGGTGTGTACCGCGTACTAGAATCTAGGCTAGATCAGTTAAAACTACTAACAAGTAATTCTAAAAGTTAAGAAATATATATTATATAGATTCTAGATCTAGATCTAGATCTAGATCTAGATCTAGATCTAGATCTATATAGGGAATAGAAGAGCCTAGAGGGCCTCTACTCTATTTTATATTTTATTAGGAAGCAGGGTGGGAATATTTTTTTGTGTTATAATATTCCCACCCGAGTTGGGTCACTTCTCATCTTTCCTATCTAGATCTAGATCTAGAGTCTAGATATCTAGAATCTGTCTAGTTTTATAAGACGGGTGCTCTTTGGAAATGGCCGTCATTATTCGGACTCGAGTCCGAATAACATTTTTTCATATTCGGACTCGAGTCCGAATAAAAAAATTTCTTATTCGGACTCGAGTCCGAATATGAAAAAATGTTATTCCGACTCGGGTCCGGAAAAAAGGAAGTGTCTTCGTTCTATAGATCTGTCTAACATTCAGTGCTTCCAATTTTCGGGAAGATTGAAGAATACCGGACCACTCGTACATTATTGCGCGAGAAAGTGGGTTGGGGGAGGGGGGGTTCAGGGGGGTCTCCCCCCTGACAAAATTTTAATGAATAGATCTACCGGTCCGAGATTCTCCTTTAAGAGATATTAAAAACGGGGAAATTATGAATTCCTAAGATTGAGACATAGGCAAAGTCAGTCCGCTGGTCCGGTATTCTTCAATCTTACCCAATTTTCCGCCATTTTTTAGTTTCCCCCTCACCTTTTCTGCCGATCCGATGCTCGCCTCCTCATTGATACACCCCCCCCCCCCCCACCCCCCATGTTTCCCACTTTCTTTGTTGTAGAAAAAGGTAAAATTGAAGATTAGCAGACCACCTGGCACCTGCATGTTATATTATGAGCTGTAGGCTGTGTAAAAAAAAAAAAAGACCGATTCGTTCAAATACACAAGCCTGTGTCATATCGATTGTTTACCAAGAAAAGTTGTGTTGCTGTGTAGAGCTGAGCATACGGCAACTTTTGATTCCATAGACCAGCGCACAATTCATTACGTAGATCTACGTCAAGACTAGTTTATTATTGTAATAATGATCAGTTGCCGGGGGGAAAAAGACTGACGTGTATGCGACGTTCAACGCCCAGACCGATAGTGCCCCCCCACCCCCCTCCCCGACACGCACACAGCCACACGTGTGCAGGCCGCCCATCCGACCCCGACACACGCTAACGAGCCATCTTTAATTGCTTCTGATGACCTCTTGACAAATATAAACATTTATTAGAAGCTCTATAACTTTTCAGGCCGGCTTCAAATTCATCATAAGATTAAAACTCGGCTCCTGCACCAAACGCCTTTTTGCCCGAAGTGATCCCGTTCTCTACCCAGCCTGAGGCGATTCACGAGTGAGGCAGGACAGGAAGCCGGATTCACGAGTCACAGGAAGTCGGAAGTGATGTCATGCTGGACAAGAATCAGAGTCCGAATAACATTTTTTCATATTCGGACTCGAGTCCGAATAGTCACTTTGTTTGGAAATTGCCTTCCTTTTCTAATAATTTGCCATGTAGGCTAAACGTGAAAATTGTTGGGTTTTTTTAAGTTAAAGGAAGAGGCTAGCCGTACTTAATGACGGCTAGACTGCTAGGCTAGTACGGCTTGACTGGTTGGCTAGCTGTACTTAAGACAACTGGGCTAGCCCTACTTATTTTTAAGGCCGTCATTATTCGGTCTCGAGTCCGAATAACATTTTTTCATATTCGGACTCGAGTCCGAATAGTCACTTCGTATTTTTAAATATGATGGCTAGACTGACCAAAACAAAAGAAATAGGCCTACTGAATTGTAAATAAATTTTTTGTTTGCAGTACCTAAAGTATAATTTGTATTTGAGATGAAACCAGGTGCCTTAATGACAGTGTATTTTAAACCTGAATAATTCATTAAATGAGAACTGTTTTCTTTATGTTAATAGGGCCTAAGATAAGTACGGCTAGACTGACAGGCTAGCCGTACTTATTATTGATGGCTGAATTGTAAATGAAATTTTTAGTTTGCAAATCCTAAAGTGTTTCAGACAAAACCAAAAGGTGCCTTACTGACTTGCATGTATTTTAAACCTGAATAATTAACTAGATCTAGATTTAATGAGACCTGTGTACTCAACAGGTTTGAGTCGACAGGGCCAAACTTAGCTAAGTACGGCAAGACTGGCAGTCTAGCCGTAGACTCTCAGGCTAGCCGTACTAGCCACTTCGTTTTTTAAATTTATTTTTGCCAGGGGGGCAAGCTCCCCTCATACCCCCCCCCCCCCCACCCCCACCCCTCAACAGGGAGCCCCCCTGAAACCCTCTGGCACTCTTGTCTTTTATGGCTAGTGCGCATTAATACACGTTAACACCGTGGGTCCACCAAAGTTCAATCCGGCCAAAATAAAATTTTAATACAAGAAAGACAGAAAAATATTACAGTGGAGTCCATTTTTAATTAATCCTGAAATAACGAGAAGTCTGTTATAAAGACATTACATTCTATAATATTATGTGCAGTACACATGATCATGAATGTAAAAGAATGAAAGTGAGTGGAATTCAGCTTGAATCGGGGATTACATGTGGAGGAAAGAAAATGGTCAGGTCTTATGTATAAGAGCTGATGTTATTTGTTGTTTGGTTAGTCCCAGATCATCAGAAACTGACAATGGTATTCACGCCAATCAACAACGTGATTAGATTAAAAAAAGAAAATGGATTTATATATTTTAAAAATGCAACAGCAAGAGAAAAAGAACAGCCTCCAAATCACACTATGATGGTGCATAGTCCACAAAGTTTAAGTGTTGAATCTGAAATGTGCATATTTGTGATGTGATATTCTTTCTCATCATTGCACAACTGCAAACCCATGTCTCACAAACCCCTAGTAATGTTGAGTGTGTGCCAGGGGGCTTCACTTTTATGACTATCATGGAGTCTTTCTCTTCACATGTGCAACTTTCATTTTGGATCTCATACTAATTAAATCATTGTGTCTATTATTTTTCAGACAGAATTAAGTTTATGCTTATGTACTTTTATGATTTTTCCAGAAGTGAGGATGCCATTTCCAAAACAAGAAGAGAGGAAAAAATGTTGGGCATCGAAGGACAGCTATTGGCTCTGTATGGACAAGAACAATGATGACACTTCAAAATGCACTAAAGAAAGGGCTGAATATGAGAAAAGCTGTATAAAGCAGTGGGTATGTCAGTTGGCTGTGACTTGTGATTGAAAAGGGGATACTTTATCTTAACATTTTTTACAGCTTTTTACTACAGAGGGCTATAACTATAATACAACCCAAAGAAGCAGTCCTGTTCTTTAGGCAGCACTCACCATCATAACCAAGCATCCCTCCCCTTGAACTTGCAAGGCTTATAGGTTGCAATTCTAACCATTATAACGCTATAGTTTGCCTCATCTTTAGCCTCTTAGCGACACTGTGGCTGAGTACAATCTAGATTTTTGACGTATTGAATGTCAAATGGGACAAGTGAATCAATGAAAGAGTTAACAATAGATCATACAGAATCTAGTGGATCTAGTCTAGAATTACATAGGCCCTATCGATTGAAACAAAAATTCACAAAGGATCTGAAGTCTGATTTTCAGTATATTTTTATTATAGATGTAATTTATACTCTGCTCTTGGCATAGCTTGAAAAGAACAAAAATCATGAATGTTAAATTAAAGCGTCAAATGGCACAGCCCTAGCTTGTAGTAGCTGTCAAAATATTTAATGTTGGGATGCCACTACTTCCTCTTTATTTTTTATAGTTGATTTGATAATTGTCTACCATCTTAGTAAGAGATGTTTTTCTCCATGTTTTCCAGTTGTCTACCCTCCTTTGCCAACTTGTCAGCATTTTTGCTCTTTCCCTATTTTGTACCCCTTTCATTGATTGTGTGGTTTATTGTTTGGTAACCACTACCTTGCTTCCATTTTGTTGGTATGACTGAACACTTCTTTATTTCCAAGATAATGTATCATTCAATTATTTTTTTCTGTAGGTGACATACTTTGACAGACGCAGAGATTACCTGAGGTACAAAGAACAAATGGAGAAAGGAGGCCCAGTCCCACCTCCCAACAAGCAGGCGTGATGAACAGTCAATAAAATCAATTGTGATATAAACAGAATATGATGATGTACAGGTTGTGTTTTGAAAGTGTTACATAGGTGGGTGAAAGTGGAGTGCAACAATAAAGATTAAAGTGTCTTAACATGTTTTTCCCATGAAGAATAAGTGGAGACTTTTCTTACCAGATTGATGACTAGATTTTAAAGGCAATTCACAACCCAAATAAAGGAAAGGAAAGCAGGCAGTCGAATGGCTGTTCATATGATTTGACTTTGTCCACATTAGCATTCTCAAAAGGTTAGCTTACACAAACATTGCAACAACCTAAATTTTAAACAGTAAATCTGTATTTTTTGTGACGATTTTCAAGTTGAGAAGATAATTAGACACAACACTTGCACAGGAAAGTTGATCAAATTTGAGGCTCCTCATAAACTCCTCTTCACTTGTAACAGATGACATTGATAGCAGAGTCAAGTCCTTTCCCCCGAAAATACAGAACTGGGAGCATCGTGCTGAAAGAGAAATACAGTGCAAACGGCATCTGACGGTGTCGTTCACTTTGACCTTCAAGTTCGTTGAATCCAAGTGTACATTCAGAGAAAGGTGTGACTAACAGGAACATTGATCAAAAAAAGACAAAAGACATGTGGGAATGTGTCACCATGCGAATACGAAGGTAAAGAATAGCACCCCAGAGTCCTTGCTTAGATGAGCTGTTGCTTTCCTTGGTGCAGCCTCTAAACAATAGGCAGGGGCTTGCACAAGATTCTTACTTTGTTTTTTCATGTTCACCACACCAGAACTTCTATTAATCTAAAGTGCTTTTTCAGCATTTTCAAGGACGTATGCTTGTTTTCTCTTCAGTTTTACATGTTTCTGGGTCCACAGCTTCCATTATCATATCCTTGTCTTTCATATAAGGTCACAGACAGCTTGAAGCAGTACCATGTTCATCACAAGGTCTGTTCTATTTTTTCCGGTTGTCAACTTCCTAGAGCAATTTGATATAAAACTAGAGTCATTTTCTTCTCTTTGTTGGCATAAGATAATGAAAGAACCGTTATCCAAGACTAGGACTAGACAAAGGGCTACAGTATGTACAGGGGATTGCCAAAGCTCAAATTGTGTGTGGTGTCTGTAACCTGGTGGTTAGGCTACTGGACTTGTAATTGTGAGATTGCGTTACGGGGGTTCGAACCTCAGCTCGGTGTGACGTTGTGTCCTTGGGAAAAGCACTTTACACAAATATTCCATGTGGCTCGGTTCTTTCGAAGATGGGCATTAAACTCAGATGTCCCATCCCTCAGAGAACCTAAATAAGTGTTGGTAGGGGGCGTTAAACCTATACCATTTCACCATTTTCACAAATTGTGTGTCATTGTCACATGAGATTTTTTGCCTAAGTTTATGTAATACAATATATGCATTGTAGTACTGCTTGAGCAAGGTGTGTCTAGACCTATCAGATGTTTGGTTCTACTGATCTGCATGCAACTTGTTATGTAGATTTGTGTCCATGACGGTTCCCTTGCCAGGCAAACAAATTTATAACTACTCATCTGAGGATGATCTACGCTTGACACGCTTAAGCTCAACACACCCTCGCATAAACCCCTCAACTCATGTGTTGTGTGAAAAGAGGCTTCTGATTGGTCTCAGACCTTTGGAATAGAATAGACAAGTGACAAGGTTCAATGCGGAAGAAAGATATGCGAAGCCACATCAAGGTTGGGCTTTTTATTCTGCTAGCAGCTTTGATGAGTTCGAAGTTGCTTTTTTAGTGCTCAGTGATCTCACTGTATTTTACTGATTTTAATGAATGAGAAGAAAACCCAGCAGATTCTTTGTGAATGATGCAAGCCCATTTAGTTATCTTTCAAAGGTATCATACAAAATTGAAATCGAACAAGTGCAAACTTAAAAACATTGATTTTATAACTCTTAGTATTATTAGATGTTTTGGAACTTGATAATTTTTAAAAACTCTCTAGATTCTAAATCTAAAGAATAAAAACATGTGATAATGTCATACTTTTTCTGTCATTTAAATACTGATACTAGTGTACTCTATGTTATGTTCAGAAACCGAAACAACACTTCAAATTGTAAGGACCTATTATCATGAATAATTGCAATAGTACACAGGTATTTTTGTGATTAAAACACTTGAAAGGACCGATACACAGGGAATGCATATATTAGTGCTAAAATAGTTGTCATTGATTGAGTTGGATGTAATGTGTAAATTTATTTGATAATTTCTTCATTGAAAAAGCATTCTTTTGTGCAAATGTTTTAAAGTTTGTGTTGTTTGCAATGTATGAAGAACAGCATACCGGGTACTGGGCTTACTCCCTTTGGGAGACTGGCTCGAAAGTTTTTTTATATGATAAATATAGTCGAGTCCTCTTAAACTGAACACTTTCATTCTAAAAACAGTGGAAAAAGTAAAAAGAAAATTCCAAATTTTTAAGAACTTTTGGTTGAGCAACCTTTCTCATACAAAAATCTGGCTAAAGTGAAGAAAATCTGGAGGTCCTGCAGATTTCGGTTTAAGTGGACTCCACTGTACATGCTGTGAATGAAATGATGAATGTTTTATGATCTCAAAGTACTAGTTGAAATAATTGAACTGTTTACCAGCACCACTGATAAAGATGTTTTTGAATCCAAGTGAAATAAAGTTAGGGAATCTTTTTACAGCAGACTTATATGTAGCTGAGCTAGAAATGGTGTGTCCAGATTTACATGAACTTGAGATTTTTACTTTGACATGTTTTCAACCTGCACAGAATTAGGATTGTGAAGTCATGATGATTCTGTATTAACCAATTTTCTGGAACATTCTGAACATGGTGTGTATGTTACATGTACATAGATTTGGTTATAAAAATCTGACTACATACTAGATGTAATATGTTTGCCAGTATGGTAACATTTTATTTTTGTCAATAAATTGTTTATGCACGGCAACGTACTGGCTTTTGATTTAACACTGTGTAATAATATTATCGAAACTATAATATTGACTCACACTTAACTTTTTGTCTTTCTCGTTCATTTTATGTTCTTCCTTCCCACTTTATGCAGGCGCACAAACACAAACACACTGGTGTTTGTTGTGTAGTAGGTATAGGACGCTTGGCTGTCACATACAGGAGATCTGAGTTTGATGCCCAGGTGGGGATAAATTTTCATTTAATATTTAAATTTTTCTGCTGGGCATTGTCGGAAGCCCACCTCCTGAATTATGTAACTTGTGCTGATTGAGATGTAAAAGCACTTTAATTTTTTTTAAATTAAAAATTACGCTCGAAAACATGCAATGCTTTTCAATTACACAGAAGAAAAGCATATGATCTTTTATTAAAGACATGTGTTTAAATAAAAAATCTACTACTTTTGTTCTGAGTGGCATTGCGACTTAACTTGCACAAAAAAGTCATGAGATATGTTGTGGATCTTTTAAACGTTTTTTTAATGAAATCTCATTAATCAGGTACTGTGGTAGGGTAAACTCAGAATATCGGTCGCAAAATTCCATGGCGTGTCATCATGTATAGATCATTAAAAAGGTTTCTCCTCATTATTTTGTAAGATTTCATGATTGACTTCATTGTTTCATACATTATTTTATTGTGCATCTAGCTCTACTCGATATAATGTATAAATTAGGATCACCCCATTTCAAAGGGTAATTCATCCGAAGTCAGATTCAATTTTATGCTAAAGGTTTGCAATGGTATAAAAGTGATCACAGGTAAAAAATGTAGCTCATAAAAAAATTAAAGTTGAACTACATGTATCCCTAAATGGATATCTCAGAAAGATTCACCAAAATTCTATTTGTTTGTAGTATAAAGATGTGTTAAATTTAATGGGTGTCTGATGAGAAGAAAATCTGAAGAAAAAAACCCTGTCTGAAATAGACCTGTTTTTGAGTCCCCATTTGACACAAACCCTACACCACGAATTGTAATGCGCATGCATACAGTGGTTTACATTCCAATGGTACTATCTGCACCAGTCAAGGGTATGCCTTGCACTTGCAGAAAATCAGGTCAGCATAACGTTTGATCTGATTTTCTCGTATTTACAACAATTTTGCTTTTCTGCAGATTTTTACACAACTATTTAATCATTTAATGCTCTACTGTACATTTGATTTAATCATAATATGGTGATGTTTTTTACTGATATTTGTTGCTTTAAATATCAAATTCACACGAATCGTAATGAAGTCATTTAATTAAAACTGTTTTTCTGTTAAATTTATGTTAATTTTTTCGTACAAAACTTGCGATAGTCTCCAAAAGTGTTCACCGAAGAATTCAAAATCTAGCTGATGCAGAATTTAAAAATGAAAAAGTCTTTATCTCAATTGCGAAAGCTGACGGCTTATTGGGCCATTTGGTCAGGCACATATAAATTGTATAGTATAGAAACATATTATAGTAAAGTAACCACTGTTGTGTGTAAACCATTGCAACGTTTTGTAATAGCAAAATGTTCTTTCTGTACTGTATGGCAACTGCAAAATCAATGACTATCATCTGTGATCTATCGTTATACATGGGTACGTAAGGCAAGGCTCTTTTCATTTGTACGCAGGAGGCGTGAGTTGGTTTGTTCTTGTGTTGGGAATTTGTTTTGTTAAATAGTTCAGTCTATCTGCTGTGATACTGTACTGTGGTGCTATGTCTCACGGTAATCGAGATCAGCCCTCCCACAAATGGGTTAGTGGATGGTAGTTATAGATGTACTCACTAGATCTATATTGTGTAGGATGTTTCCCCAGTAGCAGGAAATGTAACCCAAATGTTGAAAGGGACGTCAAGCCCACTCAATTACTTACACTTTCTTTTAACCCCTCCTTCCCCTATGGTGGAGTGTCTCCCATGAACATCTACTTTCAGTTTCAGATGCATAATATATATATATGCAATGTCTCGTCTGTCTTCTCTCTTCTTTGTCCCCTCTTCTTTATTCCTGTCCACTCTCTGCTGCTAGTGCTAGCCAAGGAGATGACCAAAACAAAAGCTCCTTTTACTTTTAATATATGGAAGCAACAACCACAACCATCTCTCTCAGCCCAATTCCAAACAAATTATGTCCTCCAGTCGGGAGGAGCAGTTGCAAATCCCGACTGGCTAGCGATAGAGATGATGATACGGTCGGCATCTTGGACCTTCCTGCGTGTACATTGTAACAAGAACGGTTAATTAATGGCAGTTGTGTAGCATGGGGAAGACACAAAACAAAAGACCTGTGCTTCGATCTGACACTAATAGCAAAATTAATGTATAGGATTCAGTAGTAAGCCTATATATGGTGTCATTTTACCGTTCTGTTGGTGGTCGCCATAGGCCTAAACATTACTGTTTAACAGGACCTGTTATTATTTTCACAGTATGAATGTATACTCTGAATCATACCAATGGTCTACTCCTGTGAATGAATAATTCCATACTCGCATATACTATACTTATGTATGTGTGTGTGTGTGTGTGAGAGAGAGA